ATGCACGTTTTCCAAACAAAACATGACTGATAACGTATAGAAGGTGTAAAGCATTTATTTCAATTTAGACGTAGCATTTAGTATCACCAAAGTAAGAGGAATTATCAGATCGGCATGGAGCTAGAAATCAAACTAAAAGAATGTAACATATCAACATGGAACTAGAAAACAGGTTAAAATAATTTTTATAGATAGACATAAAACTAGAAATCTGACAAACAGAATGTAAAAGATTGAGATGAGACAAGAACTCGTACTAATAAAATGTAATACATTGAAATGGAAATATAGTTCAGACTAAGAGAAGGTAATAGATTGAGATGAAACAAGAACTCAGACTACCATAATTTAATAGATTAAAATGAAACTGTAACTCAGATTAACAGGACTTAACAGACCAAAATAGAATTTACAACTCACACTAAGAAAATGCAATGCATTGAGATGAAAATAGAACTCAGACTAACAAAGTGTTATAGATTGAGTTGGAACTGTAACTCAGACTAACATGACTTAACAGACCAAAATAGAATTTACAACTCACACAAAGAAAATGTAATGCACTGAGATGGAAATAGAACTCAGACTAACAGAGTGTTATAAATTGAGTTGGAACTGTAACTCAGACTAATAGAATGTAACTTATTAAGTGAAAACAAGAACGCAGACTCACATAATGTAATATATTACAAGGAAACTATAGAAATCAGACTAGCAAAACATAACAGACCGAGAAGAAACTACAACTCAAACTAACAGAATGTAATGGACTGGCATGGCATTAAACTCACACTAAAGTAATGTAACAGATATCTACTTAGCGAATAGGTGTTGTTCCATTTATACATCTTTATTTGGTACGGCACCATTATAGTGTATCGACATGTATAACAACTACTTGTTTAGTGACTAGATGTGTGTTTCACATTTCACCATAATTCTGTAAACATGTAGAATATCTATCTGTTTAGTGACTACATGTGCTTTGTCATTTCACAATATACAGAGTGTTCAATGACAATAATGTGTATTGACATTTAAAACAACTATCTGTTTAGTGATTAGATGTGGTTTGTCATTTCACCATCTTTAATCGAAATGAGATGGAAATGAACTCAGACTAACAAAGTGTTATAGATTGATATGAAACTACAACTAAAGTACTGTTAAGGTTATCAACCCTTAGAGCAACTATCTGTTCAGTGGATAGATGTGGTTTATCATTTCACCATCCTTAGTTGTTATAATTCCGTAAACATCTAGAACAATTATCTGTTTAATTATCAGGTGTGGTTTGCCATTTCTTCGTTTTATTTTAGATGATAGAGTACTTTTTAAATGCATCCACTTGATTGATGGATCACTATCTTATCAATGATGGATGGGGTGGAGGGAGGGGGTGGCAGTATGATAACTTCGCCGGTCGTTTGTAACTGAGTTCACATTTCGCTTGAAAAAAAAAGGTGTCATATGTTCCCAAAACTTGTATAACCCAGGATATAGTTGATCCTTTAATTCAGAAACATTCCGTAAAACGTCTTCTTCTTACATGTACTGTTTGTTTCGTACAGGAAATTATGATTTTACAAGAGCAACTAAATACCCATGAAAAATCATACAACATGACCAAAGAAATCACAGTCCTTCTTTATCTTGTCCAAAACAAAGAAACATTAAAATAAAGATAATCGTAAAAACATCTGTCATTTGGAAAAAAGAGAAGCGAAAAAGTCATCCGAATGTTCATCCTTTTCTAAAACAAGCCACTCTATCAAGAAGCCGTGATAATAAATCACAGTCTAGATCATGTCCTAAATCTTTAGGTCCAGTGATTGTGAAGCTTTCTATAGTAAACGGTTTTCCCGCTCTTTGCTTCTCACACATTCGTTTATTTGATGCTCTTGTTTTCTCAAAGTATGGTTCTTGACAAAATCTTGTTCCGCTCAGAGTAATGGGCATTTCATCTTTCGTTCTGACGCTGTGAAGAACATCTTTATGCTAGTCAGTACTTTAAATTATTTACTCTAAAATAAACCTAGGTTTCAAATACATAAATTATAATTCTTTCAGCATGTGCGTCGTGATGAGAACGAAAATGTAATTTTACAGCGATTTCTTCTTAAGTTAATGATTATTATATGCGTGAAGGTAGTTATGTTTCCATCTTGTGTTCATATCTACTTTCTTTAACGTTCATGTTAACATGTGCCCATCGTCTACTTCTGATAATCGACTGCTACTATGTGACTCTTGTCTACTTCTGACAACCTTCTGTTTAATTAACATGTTGCTATTGTCTTTTTCGAATTACTCTTTCTGCTACCATGTGATTGTATACTTTTGATAACATTTCTGTTAATATTGACTATTGTCTACTTCCGATGACCTTCTTCTAAGCGTGAGACTATTGTCTATTTCCGATTACTTTCCTTCTAC